GACACCACTGAAAAATTTCTACTGAACTTATAAACTACTGGCCACAACTTACATATATTTAACAATTTCTTTCACGCTATTTAGCTTAATTAACTTAAAAAACATTTATTAAGAAATGAGTATTCTGTTGTTTTAGATTCCATTTATTTATTCTGAACCTAATTAAATTAAGAACTTGACACCACTGAAAAATTTCTACTGAACTTATAAACTACTGGCCACAACTTACATATATTTAACAATTTCTTTCACGCTATTTAGCTTAATTAACTTAAAAAACATTTATTAAGAAATGAGTATTCTGTTGTTTTAGATTCCATTTTTTTATTCTGAACCTAATTAAATTAAGAACTTCCCAAAACAATCTAAGAATGTGATCCACATACAAATTATTCTTACAATTATTCCTAAAGTCCCAGTCTTTAAGAATAAAAAGTTCATATTTTTAACATTTTCTATGTAAAAAACATAAATGACTGGGGGAATCATTAGTTTTATAAGATATTGGATGAAGAGCCTTGAGAAAGAACTGAAGTTAACTTATCTGTAGACTGAATTTCATCAGAGATCAAACCCAAATTTCTACAGCTAAAATGTATTCCCAATGACCTTACCTGAGTTAGACTATTTGCTTTCATTTCAGTCAGTAAGTCAAAGCCATGTCTCACTGTCACAGCAGGCTGACCTGCCAACAACCCTACCCTCATGATGGAGAGGCGGATCCGAGTAAGCCAGTCTTGACAAGTCTGTCGATTGGTATAGAAAAAAGTCCTAATGACCTTTAAAAAAAAAAAGGGAAAGAAGAACTAAACTGGTTCAAGTTATTGTGAAGATACCTTGAATACATATAAACTAAATACACATGGTTACTGTTTCACAATGACTCTGTTACAAAGCACCACTATAATTCTATGGACACCAACCTTGGGGGGTGATGTTAACGCATTTGCACATCCCTCATAGGCATTATACATTAATTTCTCCAGGTTCTCCAGATACTGAAGCAGAAGAACAAGTCTAAGCTGATTGCTTCCATGGCCTTCGTCATTATCTGCAGTGGTCCACTGACTAACATCCTGGTCAGGGTTTAGTGTGTGGGCTGCAAGACTTCTAATGATACCTAAAAACAAAGGCAGCAACACTATGAATCAGAAAATTCTTAATAAATCAATTTACAAATTATCCTGTTTATATACGCATCAATTTAAAATAAAACAAAAACCAAAGATTAAATATCTTTCATTTTGGGGGGAAAATGTTTGTTCCATATAACCTAAGCTTTTGAACAAAAACAGACATACACATGGCAATACAATTACTTAATAAAACCTTCTCTTAAAGTCATATCTAGAACTAATTTAGTGAACAGTACAGGAAAAAAAAAAAAAAAAAAAAAAACATCTGAACCCTACCAATTATAAAGCCAGGATTTCTGAAGTTAAAAGACCTAGAAATTTATCTACATCACAAAGTTTGAAGAATGCCAAATTAAATTACTGGTTACCTTCAATTGTCTGGAACGTGTCCTGAGCTCTGCCCAGTGGGGTTCGCAACTTTGAAAGAACAGTGAACTGCGCAGCTTCCCAAATAGCCCACTGCCAAAGGACAGCATCTGTCTTTAGAAGATTGCGGGGAATTGTAGATTGGTCACGCTTATCCAGCCTCTGGCAGCTATAGAACAATCTTTCTAACCAATTGTCCTTCCTGGGAAAAGTAGTTTCATATGTAACAGACAATGACAACTTCATCTTAATAATCAAAACAAGTACAAGGGGAATGGGAATAGGTACCAATTTTTCATACCAAAAGAAGCCACTACACTTTAAGAACAGGCTGGAGTGTAATGAAACTGAATTACTGGCTACATTGCTCATAACTATTTGGCCTTCAGGTTACATTTCATTCACTACAACCGAACATCTTAACAGTAACATCTCCAACCCTCCCTCCAAAGCATTCATGGCAATCAGATCAATCAACTGTCAATCACATTTCACCAGAGAAAGTCACAGCCCATTTCTGTTCCCACAAACGCTACCTTCAAAGCAGTATCTATCTCCAAAGCTGAAAAAATTATATGAGCCACCAAACAATGTTACCTTCCAATGGGGCCCATTGGATCAATGTTTTCTCAAATGTGGATGTAATCATCACAAGAGTCTTATCAGTACTGCTCTCTAATGAAATCATCAGAGCCTTACTTACCCTGTTCGGTGAGAGTTCCCATACAAAATGAAACTGATGACATCAGAAAAGTCCTGAGGGTGGAACGTGTTACTTGGTGCTTTACTCATGTGGCTTCTCAATGCTAGAGAAATTTCCTGAATCTCTGTGTGGTTGTTATTGCTGTTAACAAAAAAGTCATCGTCATGAAAGATATTTTAGAAGGAAGGTTAGCAGATTCTATAAATGGAGTACTGGAACTTCATTGGAAGCAAAAATAAAACCAAGGCTTAAAAATGGATAGAGGATGCCAGGAGTGGTTGTCCATGCCTTTACTCACAGTATTAAGGAAGCAGAAGCAGGCAGATCCCTGAATAAAAGGCCAGCTTGGTCTACCTAGCAAATTCTAGATATGCCTATGGTTATATAATGAGAACCTACCTTTAAAAATAAAAAAAACTGGGTGTTAGTGCTAAATGCCTTTAATTCCAGCACTCAAAAGGCATGATTTACTGAGTAGGTTCTAAAACCAGGGCTACAAAGAAAAATCTTGTATCAAAAACCAAAACCAAAACAAAACAAAAATAAGAGTGTGAGTGTATAATTTCACAATTTTAGAATATTAAAGGTTCCCAAATTGTTAATGCAGAAGGCTGGAGAGATGGTTCAATGTTAAGAGTACTCAGTGCTCTTGTTGCTCTTCCAGATGACCTGAGTTCAATTCCCAGCACCCACACAGGTGACTCACCTACAGGGGACAGACACACTCACAAACAAACACAAAAAGTAAAAATAAAATCTTAAAAAATACTGTTAGCGTATACCTGTAATTCCAGGATTTGGGAGGCAGGAAGATCCTGAGTTCAAGACCAATTTGGGACTATTGTGCACTACAACATGAGACCTTGCCAATAATAACAACAATCATAATGATGATGATGATGTTAAAATGAAAAAGGGAAAAGAGAGAGGGTACGTACTGGGGATGTAGTTCAGTCAGTGGAATGCTTGTCCAGCACAAAGCCCTAGGTTTGCTCACAGACAGAATAAACTGAACACAGTGATGCACACCTACAATCCCAGCACTTTGGAGGAAGGCCAGAGAATCTAGAGTTTAGGATTTTCCTTGGCTGTATAAAAAGTTGGAGGCTAGCTTGGGATAAGTGAAACCCTATCTCAAAAACAAAACAAATTCTCCAAAATCAACTTAATCAAAAGTCATAAAAGTTTATTCAACATCTCAGCAGGCACCCGGCATACACATGGTGATACAGAGAGAAACATACACACAGGCAAAACACTCAGACACTAAAGAAAATAAATCCTTTAATAAACATCTAACTCTCTTGAATTTGAGAACAGCCTGGTATACAGAGCAAGTTCCAGGACAGCCAAAGCTACACAGAGAAACTCTCCCTTAAAGAAACAAAACAAAACAATTTAATTACTAAGTAATGGATTTGGGGTACTACATGAATTATTCTACCCTAATTATTATAAGATGACAAAGATTACAAAAAAAAAAGAGTTTTCTGCTTCTAGGTCTCCAAAAATTTCCTCTGACATGTCATTGATCACTAAGAAGTATCATGCAATATGTTAAATTAATGCACTAAATATGATGATTGATCTTTTACTATGGTAGACAATTACAAAGCAGTAAAAACATAGCAAGCCAAAACAGTTATACCTTAGTACAACATCTAAAGGAATTGACTTCAGTAGCTTTCCAAAGGCCTGTCGAATACGAGTTCCACTATGGACAAGCTGAACACGGCAGACATCAACACACCTATGAAAAATAACAGATAAAGCAGGTGTGGTAGCATTCCCATGCCATTATAGCCAGAGCCAAAGATTCAGTCTCTATCTAGTCCATACCTCTGCAGCAGATCATCTGGCAAGGAAGAAGACAGAGCATGGAGACTGCTGCATGCTTGCAAACAGATATTCACATCTTCAACAAGAGCTATTATTAAAAAGGAAAAGTAACTTTCAGTTTGTACCCCTTAAAAGTACATTTCAGTCAACATAACATTCTGAACCCATCCATTCTTCATTTACTCACTCATCAAACAAGATGCACCTAGTATGGATTATACCCTACTCTTGCCTGGAAACCTCACTGGTACAAACACCTAGGAAATTAATATTCAACAAAATTCAAGTTCATGGAATAAAGTTAAGGTTGAAAATTTGACAATTCAATTATTTTTCAAATAGAATAAAAATTAATCAAGACTACTATATATGGAATTAAAATAGGAACTACTCACTTCATGGCAGAAGAGTGCTGCTGTAACTACCTTCTCCCATTAACCAATATTACCTTTTAAAGGGTAAACAAAATGAAAACATAGTAAGTCTCTTACTGTTGGCTAAAAGGCCTTTGGAAAATTTATGAAAAGATGGAAGGGAAAATAAAGGTGCATATGTTTCAGACTTCTTCATTAACACAGCCACTTCCAAAGCCCATGTCATTAATAATTTCCTGAAACATAAAATAAACAGTTGGCTTTACATTTAAAAAAAAAAAAACTTTCTTCTACCAGTTTTCATTTTATTTTTCAAACAACACAAGTAAAAATAGAAAGAAAGAAAGAAAGAAAGAAAGAAAGAAAGAAAGAAAGAAAGGAAGGAAGGAAGGAAGGAAGGAAGGAAGGAAGGAAGGAAGGAAGGAAGGAAGAAAAGGTGGAGCTGGAGAATCTGCAATGGCTGAGTGCCTAGTACCCTTGCTGAGGACTGATGTTCAGTTTCCAACACCCACATCAGCCAGCTCACAACAATCTGTTACTCCCCCACCAGGGAAATCTAATACCACAAGCCTCCAAGAGTGCTGCCCTCACAGAGATACACAAAAATATACATATTTAAAAGTAAAATAAACCTACAAATAAAAGGCTAAGTCTAGAGAAATTTGTTTCTGCATCATGGTATTCTGTTTCTGAAAAGCAGCATGATGCCACTAGAAAATGGCCCCAAAGTAGAGCCCAGCAGGGTACATAAATTCAAGTAACAGAATCCAATCAGGTGCTTCACAATGAAGCTGCAATCTAAATTTCTTAGCCTCAAATCACAAAGAATTAATAAACTTAGGAACTCAGTATTATTTTAAAAAATTATTTATGTACCTGGTGTCCTGGTTAAGATTTTCTTTCTTTAGCAATATTCCCAAAAGATTTAATATAATTGAGAAATGTTTCTTTGTGGCTGTAGTTACAGTACTAATCACAGCACCATCAAACAAGGAAGGAGATGAAGAGCTAAGACTACTGGATATGAAGTGATCATGCCTGAAAGACAAAGTGGAGAGCATCTTTTCAGCTGTTATTAAATGAAGACAACAAACTGAAGAAACATTTCTTGTTTTTTTCCTTCTGAGGACCTGTGAGCACAGTACCTGGTACAATGGGAATACAGGGTGTACAACACTGCATACTGAATTGCAGGGAAGTGAACAGCTAGGTCACTATGCACAATCATCAGATTCTTACTCAGCAGTGCAAACACAGTTGGAGACAGTGCCCACATCTGCCAAGGTAAAAACAGACAAAGTATATTTATGGCTCCCCCGAGACACACACAAGCATACACAAGCAATCTACCTTTGGAATCAAGGGTGCTTAGACACTTAAAATCTAAAGCAACGGTCTAAAACTTGGAAATTATCTAGTACACAAAGCTGAGGTCTTCAGCTAACATTCCCTCAAGTTAGGCTGACTGGCATCATCATAAGCCATTCAAAACAAGGAGTAGCTGGCTGCCTCTGATATAACTTTCTTTACAAAGTGAGAACATAATAAAGTATAGCCCAATCAAGCTATTTAAAACAAAAGCAACTAAACAGATGTACAACTAAATCTGGGGCAAATGGCCAGTTTGCTGATGCTTGTCTAGTTTAAGCAAAGTCCTTGATACACTACTCTTTGTACTCTTTGATACAAAGCCTACATTTGCTCAACTTTTAGCATATTACAAATGGCAAGGTATCTTGTTCAATAACAAAGCCAGCAATCCTGCCTCTCTAAGCCTTTTCCACCTATTCCTTTTCCTCTAAGACACAATGCTCCATCTAACTACCTGCCTCATACATCGCTTTTTCAGAATGCCAAATCACTGATCGTAAACCTTATCCAATCTACAGGATTGGATAATACAGGACATGAATTTCTCAAAAATAAAACTTAGGTGTATTAAGAAGAGAGTTTCCCACAAGCTTCATATGTAAGGAGTAAGTATCATAGAGGAAGGGGCATCTATGGGACAGCATGGATACGCTGAGCATACAAGCAAAGAAAGTAAGCATGAACATCGAGTCTTAGAAAACATTATCATTTAATACAGAGCATTCCTCTCTCCTTAAATTATTGTTTCTGTATGGTTCAATAGAAAGAATATATAAACTAGTACAATAATTATAAAATCAAAAGGATATAGCCAGATTTATTAGTACAAGTCTATAATTCCAATACTTGAGAGGCAAAGGCAGAAGTGTGGGTAGACAAGACAGAGCTAACTCAAAAAAAAGGAGGGGGGTGTTAGTGATGCCACTTCAAATTTATTATTACACCATTTGATTTTTTGTGATACTGGAATTGAATCCAAACACTCTGTCACTTAGTTACATACCCAATCCTCTCCCTCCCCACACCCAGTATGCTTCTGTATATATTTATTAATATATAATTATGTTTATATTTAATATTAATTTTAATTAATAAATTAAATGTTAATATTTATTAATTAATATATAATTGATGTTTTCCTTAAGACATTTTCATTCATGTACATAATGTATTTTGGTCACATCTGCACCTATCCAATTGCCCTATGATCCCATGCATTCCCACTAAACACTTTCTTAAACTCTCTACTTCAACTGTGTGTCTGTTTAAGATCCAACAAATTTATTAGTATTGTTTGTAGGAACATGAGCACCTAATCTGAGGATACACACACACACAAAAGTCTTTCTCCCCATCACTAACTATTAATTTTATAATAAGAATTCCTAAAAGGGATAAAGAACTTTTCATTTTTTGACAGAGTCTCACTGTGTGGACTAATACCTAACTGCAGGCTGGTCTAGAACTGGCAGTTCTTCTATCTCCAATCTCTAGGTGCTCAGACTATAAGCATGTACTACCACATCTGGCTGAAAAATTTTTTCCCATTTAGTTTTTATTATTATTTTTATGATGATGGTGGTGGTGGTGTGTGTATGTGTACACACATGCTAGATTTCAAGTTACAAGCTATTTGAGCAGCCTGACAAGAGTTCCAGGTCCTCTTTTGAAGTTGGGGGGAAAAAAAGTGCTATTTCTTCTTCCAGAAAAAGACAAAGAAAAAAAATGTGAGTCTGAGCTGAGAAGCTGGCTCAGTGGGTAAAGCACTTGCCATGCAAGCACAAGGACATGAGTTCAAACTACCAACACCCACATAAAGTAGGCACAAATCTGTAATCCCAGCCCTCAAGAGACAAACAGAAACCTGGAACTCACTGGACTAACTAGCTGAATGAATTAGTGATGCACAAATTCAATGAAAGACCATATCTCCAAAAATAAGATGGGAAGCAATTAAAGAAAGTACTAAATGTTGAACTCTATCCCCAACCCACAAATAAAATATGAGGTTATGAATGGACATGGTGATACATGCCTATAACCTCAGCACCTAAAGTTAATCTGGCCTATATAAAATCTATTACAAAAAAAGAAGAGAAACAAAAAGAAAACAAGATAGCAAAGGGTGAAGAGGGCTTAACTATGGATAGTCTTTATGGTTAGGAGTGGTGGCATATTCCAATAATCCCAGTCAGTACTCAGAAGGCTAAAGCAAAAACACAATGAGTTCAAGGCCAACCTATGCCACACAGTAGATCCCCGCCTCAAAACCAGAAATAACGCTAAATGCATAAATAACAAATCTTTACAATTAAAGACTCACCCCAATTAATGAGTTTTTGGCATTTCCAATTGTTGTCAGGGCACTGAGATCAAATATAACTACAAAGTTGGCATTGTCAACATTGAACACATGATTCTGAAAAGCCTCGTGTTTAATCTCAGAACAGGCGTCAGGGAGCTGGAGACTGTGTAGCAGATTGTTTAGTGCACAAGTCATTTCTCCCAAAATTAATTTATAGGCAGTCTCCAGAACAGGAATATTCTTCAAGCTGAGCACTGCTTGATAAACAGCATGGGCCACAGCAACAACCTAAAAAAGAAAATTTCAGTAAAGTGGTTAAAAATCACTCTATATAGCATGCTAGGGAGATCACCATGCAAGATTTAGATACTCACAGTCCGTTAACACCCAAAAGGTTCATTTTACAAGACCAACCTTAGGGAACATATATATTGGTGAGCTTTTTACAAAGCTCTATGGATTTATTATAAAGAATGCTCTAAAAGCTGCTAATGTGAAACTTCACAAGAAGCACTGCAGGATATTTTGTTGTTGTTGCTGTATTTTTAAATCAATACCAACACATATACAACAGCAGTTTAAGCTTGATTCCCCCCCCCCATCTAGCTAAGTCTACAGTCAATTCGGAGCATCTGCTGATTAATAACTAGTAATGTATTTTTAATACATGTAATACTTCTGAATTTATAATTTTAGAAATAAATCTGCCTATTTGCCTTTATGAAAATTTACCAAAATTGAGTTAATAAAAGTAAATTATGGATACTTTTAAAAAGTTATGAGGTACCTCACAATCAAGAAGGTGCTAGTATGATAACAAGTATTAACCTAAAGCATTCACTGTAATTCCTTTATATTTAATATCAAGCATCATTTCATACTGACATAGTCCAGTAAGTAAACCCCACTTTTCAATGTCAGAAGTAATTCGCTTGTTATCCATATATTACTTACCTCCTTTTCTTTATGGTATCGTAAAAATAGCAGTTTAGATGATGGTATAAAAAGCTTTTCTACAAACGATGATGGTAGTTTTGTATTTATCTGCTCAACAATCTAAAAGAACAAAATTTTAAAATAAGCTTACTTAGCTTACAAAAAGGCAAGGAAGAACCTTAAATGCACATTACAAAGTGAAAAAAATGTCAATATAAAAGGATTACATAGTTGGGAATTCTTTTAAAAAAAGGCAAAACAATGAGGACAGTAAAAGGACCAGGAGTTCTTTAAAATACTAAAATTGGATAAACTGCCAGGAGGAGGCAATCAACAACCTACACAAACCAGACAGGACATGCATTTCTAACTACAGGAGCTAAGTATTAAGTATAAAAATTCACTATTTCATTATATTTTAAAGGGAGCAGTTATGTACAGTTAATATATTAAGGGAAAAAAGAAATTTAAAAAGAATCATACAAGTTTTTTCTAAGAAATAAAATTTTAGCAGGTTTTTGAAAGTAGTCAAGTACCTTCTCCCATACAAGTGATTCTCCAGTAATCAACACAGGGTCAGAGAATGAAGAGTAAAGTGAGCTCAAACACTAAAGGCAATTTGATATTAGAAAAAAAAAAAAGCATACTGGACTAGAAAACTAAGAGTTATCAATGGGATCTTAAAAAGATAAAAGCAGAGCCTTTCTTAAAAGACATGAAGCAAAATTCTTTAGATTCTTCCACATCAACTTAAAGACCTACATAAACAACGATTTAAAACAAAAGGAGTAATTCACATACCAATGTGAGCAAATTCAAGACTGAGATGATATAATCGGTACCACAAGTCTGGCAATTCTCCAGTTGATCTAATCCATATGTAATGACCATGTCACAATGTATAGTCATGCTAGGATCCAAGCTGCCGAGCAAAACACCAACACACTCATTAGCAGCTGTCAACACAGCCTCAGAAAAAAACACTTGGTTTGCAGCCGTCACGCATCTCATTACTCTGTATAGAACCTGCAAATGGGGAAAACAAGCACCTTTTTAAACACAAGCTTCTCTACACCACTATTTGCTATTTAATGCAGCTTCAACTCAAAATTATCTGTCTAGTTAACAGTCTTATTGTTTGGGGGATTGTTTTCCCCCTGTTTGAAATGGGGGAAAGGTTAACCCAGATTGGTTTACAGATGTGCACCTCCACATAGTTCACAGTTGGTTCTCTAATTCTTGGTAGCCAATACTATATACTTTAGTGTATATAAATACTTTAATACTATATACAAAAAGATTTTGGCTAAAAAGTATTCCAAATTACTGTCTTGACAAGAAATGGAATTTGCCCCCTTTGAGTTCACTTATACTCTTCCTCTATTCCTAGAAATTATCAAATGGCTAAAGCTTAGTGTCTTATGATACACACCACAAGTTAGTACACTTAGGAATGTCCTGCTCACATTTGCTTAAACACAGATCTTTGATTTTGTTGTTGTTGTTAATTTGGTTGTTTTGTTTTTTGGAGTTTTGTGTGTGTGTGTTTGTTTGTTCTATTTTGGTTTTTCAAGTCAGGATTTCTTTGTAAAACAGTTCTGGCTGTCCTAGGAACTCACTTTGTAGGCCAGGATGGTCTCAAACTCAGATATCTGCCTGCTTCCTTCTTCCGAGCACTGGAATTAAAGGCACCACTCAGCTAGATCTTGGATTTTTAATAATCTTTTCAAAATAAATACTAAAGTTGCTTTAAGCTAATATTAAAAGTTTGTGTATCAATAACCATTGTAGCCAGACATTCTACCACTGAGTCCTGGAAGTTGTTTCTCAACATAAGAATTCCTGGTGTGCACAATTCTATTAAGAATCATAAAAGCCAAATAATTTCCAACATACACACACACACAGAGAGAAATCATTAAAGTTGTAACAATATTTACTTAATAAATTTCAAATAAGACCTTTTTTAAAAAATGGAAAAGTTCAAGCCAAAAACTGTCACAAATCTTTATCAATAATACCCAGTGGATTGTCTTTAAGATCTGTATGTAAGTTTCATTAATGCTATTCACAAAAACCAAAATTAAAGGCCTTCATAACATATTTAAAATATAACTATTCTGGAAAAGCTTACGCTCCTTTCTTTTTGTTTTTTATTTGAGTTAACTGTCTCTACTTCACTCTTCAAGCAGAAACTTTTTAAGCAATAAAAAGACAGAAATTAAGCCATTTTGAAGATTTCAATTATCAACACAGGCTTAGATATATATATCTGATACTTCTACTCTAATACACATGAACCTTACCAAGAATCACACAGTACTTTATTCACCTAGCAATGTGTCTATAAAGTTATGCCCCTAAAAAGCCAGCACTGTACCTGAGCAGTAGCACACTTCAGTAGTGAAGACTGTCTTTCCTCCTCACTCCAGAGCAAGGCTCAAGGATCATTTCTCTCTGCTAAACTACGTCATGCAATGACCACTCAAGTGCAGGAATTTGGTCATTTCTCATACCTGGCTTCAGGCTGATATTTTAAAATAGTAATTTTTTTACATCAAAGGCTGACTCCTGAGTTTCATGTTGTCATGCTCAAAAAAAAACGACCAGTTTTTGTTTTTATTGCAGTAGCATTCAGGGTTTTCATGCAAGGCAAAGGCTCTACTACAAACTTTACAATCAACCCAAGACAGTAACTGCTGATGCTTTGTAGTCTATTATTCTTATTGTGTTGAAAACTAAGACTCAATTTTTAAAAAAAAAAAAAATAATAATTATATATTGAAAATAGTAAGTGTAAGTTGAGTAAAAAGTTCAGTGCTTTATGAGGTGCAGATGAGAATAGAGTCTATGCAAGGCACTGGGTCCAACCTCCGGTACCAAAGAAAATAAAAATACATGGATCTGTGAAGGAACTCCTTAGAGAAATGTCAAGGGTGTGTAAAAATTTAGAATAGCCCTTTCTAAGTGGGGTGAGAATGTGAGGATGGTGGTTGATAAGCAGTCTTCCTACTTTTCTGAGTAAGAAAGTAACCAGACACAAACACATTTACAAAAATGGTTAATATAGTTTACTGGGTACAGGAGGCCCTCATAATACAACCTGGTTTTTAAAAAGACACTTACATCTGTGACATATGCCTCAGTAATCGGTGGACCCCGAATTGGGCTGAAGCGCTCCCCAATGCTCCTCACCACAGTACTGAACACTCGGAGAAGTGCTGCCAGCTTTGGCAATGACACTGATGGAGGAGGAACATCTTCATCCACTGACTCCCCAGAGGCCACATGGCTGAGGTCCTAGACATAAATATACAACATTCTTATTGAAATAGTAGTACACTGAAGGATTTGTTTTGGCTTTATTGCTGTAAGCTAGTAACCAGCAATCAAGACCAAGCCCTAGCACATACTAGGCAAGGGGTCTGTAGTGAGCTACATTCTAGTCCCTATTTCTTATAATCTGCCCCTCCCCATTCCCCAACACTTTATTTTCAGATAGAGTCTACTATGTTGACAAGGCTTCTGGGCTCCATCGATCCTCATATCTCACTCAGCCTCTGGAGTAGCAGAGACTTATCCAATAAGTCTCCCAATTCTTAAAGTTGCTTAACATTAGCAGTTTTCTTTTCCCCTCCTCCTTTTAAAATAGGGTCTCACTAAGTAGCCCTGCTGGTCTGGAACTCAGTATATAGACCAGGATGGTCTCCAACACACAGATTGCCTAACTCTGCCTCGCAGATCCTGGAGTTAAAGGTGTGTTCAACCACACATAGCCCTAGAAAAGATTACCATTAAGAGAAATTTTAGCCTAAAAGAGGAAACATAGGACTCCATATACCTAAAGTTCTCTATCTAAACCATTCCACACAAACCCAGGTAATTATGGAAATGATCTACATCAACACAGTAGGTGTTAAAACAAAACACTCTTATGCATATATAATATACTGTTGCCTAAGTACAAAATGCACAACATTTTGGCATTCCAGAATTTGTTTTCTACTAAAAAATAATTCCATATAATTTCTGACCAAAAAATTAATAATATATTAATAGTTTGCACTCCAAAGGAAAGGGGTTAGAAATTTGAAGACCTACTATACAGACTTAAAAGTTAATTGAAAGTTTAAGCTATACCAAAAGAGAATTAAGATTGGGTATTAGAACTAACATATTTCTATACATAATTAAGTACCCCCCCAAAAAAGGAGAAAGAGAAGTAGTATTAAAATGCCTAAAGGAAGTGTCCTACCTATGGAAATGGGTAGTTTTTGAAAGATTAATCTTTATGGGGAAGCCTGTATTCTACACGTTACGGGGGGCAAAAGAAAAATGTGGAAATATAATAGTCTATTCTTTCTTCCTGAAGAAAGCAAACAAATATATCAGTGATGAAAGTGGTAGAATAATGAACAAACTCTTACTGCCTCATAGTAGCAAAGAACTAAAACAAACTCAGTGTGTGGGCCAGCCAAACAAGAACCATGGTACAAAAGACATGTAGACAAAAGAGCTGCAGCAGTGAGGCCAGGAGCAAGGGCAAAGGCTGCATGCACGAAGCACCTTCAAAGTCAACACATTCATACATAGCTGCACCAATGGAGCAAAGCGAATGCTTGTCCTCCACAGCATATGAGAGCCTCTGGCTACGCAAGGGCAGCATCTTTAGGGGTGTTTTTCATTTCTAAACTGCATTTATCTGCCCTTTGGCAACAACAACAGAAAGGAATTAATTATGAGATTTGCCTTCAAAAAAAAAACCTGCTATCAAAAACATTTAAACTTTGCATAATATCAGACATGTGTACACACATATATATATAATAAATTTAAAAAACAATCTCAATGATCTTATTAATTTCTGCTTAAATGTCAGTCTTAATTATTTTTAAAATGAATCTAATTCTGTTTATTATCTTTGAGAATAATTTGGCTTTCTACAGCTTACCTCAGCATATGCCTCCATATCTTCAAGGAATTGACCAAGAAGAGTAGTAGAAAATGCAAGGTCAGCTACCCAAAATGGCTCCAAACTCTGCAACCACCCTTGACATCACGGAAGAAATTTTGAAATCAAAATGGGGAAGGAAAAAAAAGGCATGGGAGGGATTACCAAAAGTAAAAATGAACCCTGCTTTCAAGCTATCTACTCTTAAAATATACCCTGTATCAAAAACATTAGAGTTGCCACTAAAAAGCATGCTGGTGATTAATCAACCCTCTTAATGTTATAAAAATTGACATTCTACAGAAATCAGTGTGTAAATCATGTATCTTTTTATATCTGATTTAATATCTATAATGTCACCATACCCACAAACACCACACACACACACACACACACACACACACACACACACACACACACACATTTTAAATGCCACCATGTACTATCAACCTAGCTTTCTATCCCAGGGCCATGACTAGTCACCAAGGATGTACATTTGGTTTCACAGCAGAAATGACAAGAAATGACACCATCCATTCTAACTGGCACACTGTTTCAAAAGTTAAGATTCAGAGAAGTAAAGAAACTCTATCATGTCAGTAAGCAAGTGTGTGGAAACGAACTGAATTATCATTTGTTCTCTATCACAGATGACGAACTTCCAATTATTTGTGGCTCATTTAATTAAAATGACCATAAAAGCAACAATAAAAACAACAAATGAGGGGCTGGAGAGATGGCTCAGTGGTTAATAGTCTAGCTGCTCTTCCAGAGGTCATGAGTTCGGTTCCCAGTGACCACGTGGTGGCTCACAGCCATCTGTGATGAGATCTGGCGCCCTCTTCTGGCATGTGGGCACACATGGAGGCAGAATGTTGTACACATAATAAATAAATAAATCTTTAAAAAAAAAAGAACAACAACAACAAATGAGGTCTGAAGAGATGGCTCAGCCGTTAAGAGCACTGATTGTTCTTCCAGAGGATCTGGGTTCAATTCCAGCACCCACATGGCAGTTCAAAATCGTCTGTAACTCCAGTTCCAGGGGACCCAACACCCATGGTAAACTATTAAGGCACATTTAAAAAAAAAAGCAGAATCTTCCATTCTAGGTTACAGACAACTTCAGATATAGTCTTTAAATTCTCATAGAGTGTAACACTATAATATGGATTTCTCCTAACCCACTATTTACTACATAATTTTGCTTTGTGAGAGCTACCCAATGATGCTCATTAATAAAAGCTAATTTATCTTCCTGAATCAACCCTTTTTGCTAGATCAGATCAACACTTCTTTGCACAGACTTACAGGATTGACACAAATTAGGACTTACCAGACACCTGCTGTGTGAGAGAGGGTTTCTGAGTATGATCTATGTGCCATCCAACTAATATATCAACTGTATCCTTGATGGAGACAAAAAGATGAGACCAGTCATTTTAAGGTTTCATCAGTGAGATCACATCACATTAAAAGACCCTAGCAAAAGCTGTTCAATCTACCTGATATGGGAGTTGGTGAGGCAGGAGAAAAAGAAACTATAGTCATAACACTAAAGAAATCTCTTCTATACAAGAGGTATTAATATCGGGGGGAAAATGGAGCTGTTACTTTTTATAAAATATTATCACCATTGTCATTATCACCACTGTTGTGATATTACTGCACCAATAAACCCCGTTCCTCCAAAACATCACTGATTATATCCAAAAAGTCAGAAGCTTCTTTCCTATCTGATGACCCACTTCCTCACAGAATCATACCACCATGAGAGAACGGTGGGAATAAGAAACTCACCCTAAAATTGGTGCTGAAAATATGAGGGTAGCATCGAGCCACCAAAAGAATGCATTTAACACATTTGCAAAGTAATTCTGGTGTGTCCACATTTTCAAGAATGGATTGTAGGCTGGTCATCACGAGCTGAAAAGCAAAATTACAACCCTAAACATTTGACAATGTAGGGAGAAAACAGTTTCACTTCACAACTGATTATGAGACCAAAGAAAATAAAATTTTTCAACAATGCATAAAATATAAAACTAGGAAGCACAAAATATTACCACACTATGTAAATATTTCATGTTCAATACTTTCAAAAGAAAAATTCTATTGCTTTAATTTTTTTAAAAGTGTTCATTCAATATATTAGGCTAAAAATCAATACTGCTCTCTATTTTATTATCTATTAAGACTTTTCCTTTCTGATCAATTAACTTTAGGGGTGAAAAACACCTGTGTCCATTATTCATAGTAACTCTGTGGCTGTGACTGAATTTAAAGTACAAAATTTAAAGTAACCAGACACGATGGCACATGCCTTTAATCCCAGCACTCAAGAGGCAGAGGAAAGTAGATCTCTGAGAGTTCAAGGCTAGTCTGGTCCACACAGAAAGCCAGCCAGAGATACATAATTCTATCCACCAGCACCCCCCAGAAAGGTAAGATGTACTTGGGAAACTGATTTTCTTAAGCATCTCAATTACTAAACAATTCATCGTGTAGGGTAAAGCTAGGAACCTTGGCACGGGGTCTATAGCCCCAACATTTGGGAGGCTGGGGAAAAATAGACAAAAAAAGCATGGGTTACAAACTAAGGTCTTTTCTTAAAACATCAAAGAATAAAAAGGAATTTTTTTCAGAGTAAATCTTAAGTAATTAATATGCTTTAAAGCAAAGTTTATTTTATTCATTTTGTTTTTATCAAAATGATCTCGGAGAGTTAATTAGAATGGGATTCCTACAGATGACATTCTGGCTTCTTTCCACTGAGTATATATAATGAAAGTAGACCTATCACGCAGCTGCTAAAAACCACTTTCCTCAAACAGAAAAGTCCTTTGTGTACGTACATACATGTATGTACGTACACAGGTGTGTAATAAAGGGTTATAATGCAGGGCTGCAGCTAAGAATACTCAATGTTCTTGAAGAGTACCTGGGTTCAACACCCACAGAAGAGCTCACAACTATCTGTAACTCGAGTTCCAAGGGATCTGATACCTTTTTATATCCTGTGCTGGCCCCACACAAGTAAACTGTTGCACATACAACACTCAGAAAACATAACATAATCTTCTTAAAAGGTAAAGCCAGAATTTTAAAGTCACCATTTTGTAGTAGCCAATGTTACAATCTGGACTCTTAGAAATCACTGAATGAAACATTACTAAAATATCAATACATCCAAAGATCAAGACATCAGACCCAGGCTGCTCATTTGAAAGGAAAAAGAAGCTTTATAGTAAAATCTGATGATCATTCCCTCAACCAGGGATCACTCTTCAAGTCCAACAGAGGGACAACCTGCTATCAGGTGCCTGTAATCAACCCATTATGCATTCCTGACTTTAAAAAAAAAAAAAAGTTTCAGCTGACTCTGAGGAAGGTTCAGCCATTAAAAAAGGGGGGGGGGGGACAAGGAAGAAAGCAGCATGTATAATAAAATAAGGAGTGGGTATGGAAAACTAATATTGTAAGAAAAATTTAAAAAGCCAAGGGCAATACTTGAATCTTTAAAGGGATCCTGAGTAGGGTAACCATAGATGCAAATGGCACCTTAAGTGCAATTACAGACACTTGAACATTGTATAGGCCATAAAATGCTTTGTTAAGTGTATAATATTGCTGCTACAAAAGGGAACAGGCTTATTCTTCAGTGATATATACTGATACACTAACAGAGTGAACTGTCTATGTATTTATCTTCAAATACTTCCACAAAAAGTATTCATGTGAAAATAAAACAACTTTAAGGGATGGGGAGATGGTTCAGTTGGTGAAGTACCTGTCATACAGCATGAAGACCTGGGTTCAATCACTAGCACCCAATAAAGGCCAGATGTGTTGACACATGTCTGTAACTCAAGCACTATGAGGGGAGAAAAACTGAGACAGGCAGGTTTCTGGAATTTGCTGACCAGGCAGTGAGAGACCCTGTCTCAAAAAACTAAGGTGGAAAGCAATAGAAGAAAACACCCAATACTTACCTCTAGTCTCCACATGTGCATACCACACATACTTCGACTACCAAAAATGATAAAGAAACCTATAAGTTGGATAGTAAGTACACCCTTGTTCTTCCCGCATTTGGAAAGCTGACTCAATAGGATCATCATGAGTTTCAGGCCAATTTGGACAACAGAGTGAGATCCTGACTTACAAAACAAAAAGTGGTGCTGGAGAGACGGCTCAGAGGTTAAAAGCACTGGTTGCTCTTCCAGAAGTCCTGAATTTAATTCCCAGCAACCACATTGTGGCTCACAACAATCTTATAATGAGACCTGGTGCCATCTTTTGGTGTGCAGCAGAACACTGGATACATAATAAATATATAAATCTTAAAAAAAAAAAACTAGGAAAACTGAACATTTTTAAAAAATAAATAAAACAGCTGTTAGCAAAATGTGATTAAGCAGGGATCTTATCAAACTGCATCTATACACATCTTCCTGTGGATTTGAAATCTTTGAACTACAGTCAGGAATCAATTACATAAAAATGTGTAAAATCAGACCAATTTGCTGCTATGCTGTTTACATTTCCACAAAAAAAATGACATAAATGTTACTCTTATTAAACTGGAAAGTCAGATACAGTATATAGTCCTGGCATTCAGAAAGGTGAGACACTGGAGGACAGTTTATGCAACACAATAAGAGCCTATCTCAAAAAGCCCTAACAAAACAAAACCCTAACTTGGGAATGAGCTTTTCCATACACCCAGACATTCAGAAGTGAAACAATTAAACAGAAGCTGGAATACATTCATAAATTAGTGTTAGAATTATTTAAATAATTTTTGACTTAGCAAACCTAAAACTTAGGGAAGTGTGAGGGGAGGAGAGGAAAAAAGATCTAGAAATTAGTTGTGATGTTTAGCTTTTGTCTCTTTCAAAAACTGTGAGGGCCCCTCCAGCCCAACTCTTTGAGCCTAGTTCCTACTTTAAATCTGCAAGTCACTCTAATATTAAGTAACTTCAAAGGAAAGCTTCTAAAACACAAACAGACAAAAATGCTTAAAATTAAATTACTTTAAACCTAACTTTACTCAAACTGCATTTCATTTGCCCAGTGCTGTGTCCCAACAGTAGACAGGTAAGCCCCATCTTCCACTTTGTCCCCTACTTCACTCCACTCCATTATGGGTCCCTGGCTCTCACCTGCATCACGGAGGAAAAGGCTTTCTTCTCTCCAACAGTCTCCAGCGCTCTGTAAGTGGCGCACAGGTAGAGCAGCTTCACTTCATCTTTAGCAGAAGAGCTAAATTTGCTAAAAATCCACTTGAAGATCTTCTCAGCCTCATAGCTCAGAGAAGCACAGAGAAGTCCAAGACAGCAAGCTCCCTCCTGCCTCAACTCCTGAAGCAACTTGCTACTGTGTTTATTTTAATGCAAACAAAACACACACAAAAGGCATTAGTTTTCAAGGATGAAAGTAGGACACTTTTCCCCCCCTAGAGGCAGGGTTTCTCTGTGTAGCCTTGGCTGTCCTGGCACTTGCTCTGTAGACCAGGCTGGACTCAAACTCACAAAGATCCGCCTGCCTCTGCATCGAGTGCTGGGATTAAAAGGTGTGCTCAACAACCTCCCACCTTTTTTTTTTTAAAGTATGACACTTTTTACAAAAGAATGTCTCCTATGTATTAAAGAATTCCTAAATGACTTTTCAAAACTCAAACTAAATAAAAAGGTAGAATTTATCCCATTCTGCATACGTATCCTCTGTATTCTCTAATGTTCAAAAGCCCCTCTGTCAGACATTAAATTTCTTTACAAAATCATTTACAAAGAAACACTAAAAAAGCTATGAAGTGGGCTGGATAGATGGCTTGGGGTTAAGAGCACTGACTACTCTTCCAGAGGTCCTGAGTTCACTTCCCAGCAACCACATGGTGGCTCACAGCCATCTGTAAAGAGATCTGGCGCCCTCTTCTGGCCTGCAGCAGACATGGAGGCAGAATGTTGTATACATAATAAATCTTTTTTTAAAAAAAGCTATGAAGTGCTAAAATTCAGGCTAAGTTCCATTTCTGATTCACAGAAAGAGGTAGCAAGAAAATATTAAAAAATGCACTACATTTGTAATAACACCCAACATGTAATGACTGTGAAGTAGGAAATGTTTAGTAGATAAACCACACAAACTTAAAGGGATAACAGCCAGTACTAAGTATAGCATTAAGAAATTAAGTAAAGCCATCAGTGACCTGCTCCCAATACTGCTGTTCTTTGGAATCACTGAACATCTTTAAGAAGCCTAGAGATGATTTAAAATATGAAGTTCACCTTTTCCTCTCCTCTCTTAAGCATTTTAAACTCCCTGAAACAGTAACTTCCATGCACGCTAGCTGGCATCAGTTCATGTCTTTTCTCAGGTCAATGCTTAAGAAAGAAGAGAATTCTCTTCCAAGTAGGTTCCATTTGTACTCAACAAAAATTAATGACTAAATAACAGTTTTATTATTGAAGACTTAATGATATTCATAAATAAGGCCCAGGGTACATCATGCATATTTTAATAATTTCTACAATTACTTTCAAGGTCACCTAAATGTGACCATTATTAGTTACTTACCTTTCATTAAGCACATCATGGACAGCAGCCAAGATATTATCCAACTGTTTAACTAGTACCTTAAAAAAATTATAAGAACTTCAGATTCCTATTTAAAAGCAGTACTGTATACTTTATTTTTCTATTTAGATAGGATTATTCAGTATCTCAGTCTGTTGTTATTGCCAGTCATCAATCACATGAGGAGGGCATATTTCCCTTCAAGCTATAAAAGAAACTCACAGGACACAAGAGCTGTAATCATCAGCAAAATATAGTCAAGCTCATTTTAATTGAAAATTAAAATAGAATAATAAGGGAATGGAGAGGTAATAAATGAATACAGTAACATACCAATGACAGAATCTAGGGGTGGAAGCACGAGCCTCACTGTACATCTTTCTACTTGCTGTGTATCAAAGACTTTTATAATAAATTTTGAGGGGATGAGCTTGCTTTCTGCCTTACTACATGCCATTCTTACTAATTTTCTCCTGTATCAAGCTTTTAACATCAAAAAAATTACTTATAAGTAAAGTAATAGTTTTTTCCTCTTAGTGATACAGGGTTTTTCTGTATAGCTCTGGCTGTCTTGGAACTCACTTTGTAGACAAGGTTGGTCTCGAACTCACAGAGATCCACCTACTTCTGCCTCCCAAGTGCCGGGATAAAAGGCATGTGTCATCACCACCCAGTAAGAAATATTTTCTAAATGCCTCTAAAAAAATGTCTTTTAAAGAGCTTTTCCATTTTTCCCATTCTTATTAAAATGACATGTGTACTATGCACAAGTGCTCTTAGAGACCAGAAGTGTCCAATCACCTGGAGCTGATGTTATAGGCAATTGTGAGCTGGGAACCAACTCAAGACCTCTGCAAGAGCAGTAGACACCCTTAATCTCAGTGCCGTCTCTACAGCCCCAGTTTTTCCATTTCTTTAGCCCTGATCACTAGACCAGACTTACATGCATAAAACATGTACCCCATACTTCCACTTTATGTATAAAAAAACATAGAAATATGTTGTCCTGTCAAAGAAAATGTCTACGGACAACAGGGTTATCCACAAGCTAAATTATGCTTTTAAAAATGCACTTTATGAAAAAAGATGCCAAAGTGACTCCAACAATAGCCATCATAGATAAATGATACATTAGGAGCAAAACATTAGCACCCTAACATAAGTCAAGTACAGAGCTAAGGAAACTTTTTTTTTTCCTAGAAGCAAACCATTTCTTGTCGAAACCTCCCAACACAAAATCACCTTATGTACTCTAAGAACACTAAGATCCTCAGCAACTCCAAGCATGTTTACTCACCAGTTTATTTTCTGGCTGCTGAATAAACTCCTTCAGCTGCTTTACAGTAGCCAGTCTTCGGTCTCTGTCATCTTCCCGGGTGATCCTCCGAAGAAGATTCGACAGTCGAGACTCATCCGAGTACGACATCGATCGCTCTGTGAAGATAAACATTTCATGGCCGCCTAGTAGACTAAAAGTATGAAGCATATAGTTCAGGCATTCTGAAGTATTATCAAAACCCAGTGTACTGATTTCTCTTCTGTTAAGCTCTCTTTGTATCTATAGAAGAATGCCTGGACACAGTTCCACAAACTCCAAAAAACCCTTATCAAAAATAAAATGAATGAAAAACACTCAGCAAAGCAAGCACCTCATTGAAGAAGACCAGATGAGGAAGAAAAAAAGAAAGGCATAGAACTTTTTTTTTTCAGTTCCATTTTGAGCTGTTTTCAATATCTAGGTTTAAAAAAAGGGAGCGAGGTGGCCAATACTTGCAATCCCAACTATTACTAACAAATTCTGAGTCTACAAGTTTTTCAGATTAACCTGAGCAAAACAAGGAAGTCATCCCAAGAAAAACAAAACACAAAAACCAAGAAAGTGGGAGTAGACAATGACGACAAACCCAGGGTGATGTCTCTATAGTAAGAAAAGGTCGTGCTTCTATTTCTAACTGAAGAGAGGCCCCTGCAGGAAACCTCTTCTTCATAGTATTATCATTTCTCTAGCACACAGTTCAGGCAAACTGAAAGTACACATTCAATTTGATCAACATCTAACTACCACTTGCAGTGTGAATACCATGGCATCACCATTAAAGTAGCCCAGAACCTTTCTTCTTTTTCTAGTTGCAAGCAGAGCACAAACACACCATCAGTGCTTGACACTTCTGACATTCTAAATATGAAGGCTGCATTCTATTTTTATTTTAGAATAAAGGTATTTTACCTATGTGTATGCAAGTAAGTACACTGTGTATATCCCTGGTACCCACAGGAGCCCAAAGAGGGCGCCAGATTCCCTCAAACTGGACTTATAAGTGGTTACGAGGCACCAAGTGGGTGCTGGGAATTAAAACTGGGTCCTCTGCAAAAATAGCAAGTGATCTTAACTACTGAGCCACCATTCTAGCCCCCAGGACCGTAAATATAAACAAAGTGATTTTAGCTAGCCATTGAGTGTGTAAACAACAAACCACACTTAAATATTTGTTTATGATCTAAAAAATAAAACTTGCTTTAAGATCAGAGTGCAAGAGCTAAGTTACTAGCTAGCCACAGAGACCAACCAGGCAGTGGTAGCACATACCTTTAATCCCAGCAGAGGCAGATCTCTGTGAGTTCAAGGCCACCCTGGGATAACTGCTACTAGAGATTAATACAGTCTAAAAGTGAAACCTAGTCAGGCAGTGGTGACTCACACCTTTAATTCCAGTACTTGGAAGTCACATGCCTTTAATCCCAGCACTCAGGTGGAGACAGAAAGGGATATGGCTGGGCGGGAAGAAGAATATAAGGCAGGAGGAGACAGGCGCTCAGGCTGAGGATTCATGGAGACAGGATCTTGTCCCCTTCGGTCTGAGGATTTGGTAGAAGTAAAAAGTGGCTGGCTCCTTTACTTCTCTGATCTTTCAGCATTTACCTCGATATCTGACTCCGGGTTTTTATTATTAAGACCAATTAGAATTCTCACTATATAACAGTGAGTTTCATTTCTCAATAAGTCTCAAAATGAACATTTAAGAAACTACTATGGCCTTCTGTCCCTGGATCACTGGGCTACCAGGCGGCCCTGTTTAGGTGCTGAAGAGTTCCATCTGGACGGAACCTTCATCTGGAGATGGATGGAGATAGAGACAGAGACCCACACTGGAGCACTGGACTGAGCCCCCAATGTCCCAAGGAGGAGCAGAAGGAGGGAAAATATGAGCAAAGAAGTCAGGACNTGTTTTGTTTTGTTTTTTGTTTTTTGTTTTTTCGAGACAGGGTTTCTCTGTGGTTTTTGGAGCCTGTCCTGGAACTAGCTCTTGTAGACCAGGCTGGTCTCAAACTCACAGAGATCCACCTGCCTCTGCCTCCCGAGTGCTAACTAGATGGGTTTCTAAGACTGAAGAAAACAAATGTGGCTCATAGGTTTATGATCTCTGAACTAACAGGTTTGGTTGAATCATCTTTAGGAAAATCTGCACAGATGGATGGGGAGATAGCTCAGTCTTTTCAAAGTTCTGGTCATGAAGGTGTGGGGATTCTAGTTTAGCCACCGTAGCTCATATAAAACAGCTGGGCATGGTATGACAGGCTTAGAAACCTAGGGGGCAATGAGAGGCAGGTGCTTGGTGTTGTTGAACCCACTGCTTAACCTACTTGGCGAACTCCAGGCCAATGAGAGAACCCTGTCTCAACAAGCAAGGTGAATGGTAACTGAGATCAACCAAGGGAGGTTGACCTTTAACCTCAACACACATTCATGTACATATCTAGGAATGTTTGCACACACAGGTGCCCCTGCACATACATAAGCATACACACACACACACGTATTTAAATTCTATAAAGACATGGACAAGAATTCTATAGTAGCAAAACACTGTCATAGTCATTGCTTTTCTTGTTCATGTCAGATGCATTGGCCATACTTGCATCTGATATATTAACAGATGAGAGCTGAGGTCAGACTTCTAGAATTGTTGTTGTGATAATATGTGATATTGGGTAGTTAAACATTGCTTTCATAGTCAAGAAGAGTCTGGGCTTTTGTCCTTTGACATGGCTCAGCATTTATAATGAGTTCACTTTCTGATGATATACTTTGGAAAAGTGTACATTTTATCACCCCATTAATCAGCCTTGACTAAAAGCTTAAAAACTTAAAGCTTAAAACATTTCTTCCAAGGAAAACACAAGGTAGTTCAAGCACAACCAAGTTAGAGCTTTACAAGTCATACCTACAGGAAATTAAATGTGGCTCTTCTCTTGCTTTTTGCCTCTCATGTTCTGTTACTCAGGATCACAGAAAGATTTGCTCATGAAGTTTTTGTCATGTGACCACCTCCCCTTTGTTAGTGTAGTGCTACTTGACGGTGACAAAGGAGCTGGTCCTGTGAAGAAGCCTGATGCCTGTGTCCTGGGTTTTGGAAGTTGTTTTGTTAAGACTCTGTTTCTTCGAGCCTGCTAATGAGCTCCAGGCTTTGGTCTGAGGGCTGTGAAAGTCTATGTTTAAGTGCATTGGAAGCATCTCCAAAGATGCTGGCTCAGCCTCAGTGGGGTGCATCGTGGCTGCCTTTGGGTGAGAACTTTAATTTTAAGTGTACTCCCTCTCAGATGATTTCTGAAGATGGATTACAGTGAACAGAGCTATTTCATCCTTAGACACTTTTTCTTGCTTAATTTGGATCATAACTATTCCTTCTCTTTTGCCACTAGAAGAAGGGCATTAATGGTAGACTTCTCTGAAAATGTTATGTGCATACTACAAAGATTATTTCCCATTTTAAAAATATTTTTGGATAGGGTCTTGGTGTCGTGGCCCAGGCTGGTATTGAAATCTTGATTTATAGTTGTGTGCTATCACACCTGGCTTTTTTATTTTTTGTGAAGGATCAACTCTGTCTTCTTTTCTTTGGGGCCTTCTTTCACTCAATGGAAACAATAAATAAAACAAGATAAAAATAAGAAAAAAAAAAAGAAACTACTATGTCTGGAAGAAGGAAAAGGTTTTTTTTAACAAGCCCATAGCCCACAAGGTAGGTCAATAAAGACGGAAAGGGAAAATACCATTATATCACCTGTGCTCTAATTTCTTCAACCAGAAGCAAATATTCTCACAACTCAAGAGTATATGAAGGGAACTAGATGAAATAAACGTTAGTCACCTCCTATCTTCTATAAATCTTAAGTCTTGAAACTGCAAACACTTTGAGGTAGTAGCAGAACCTTTAACTTAGCCATTCTAACTCTGAAATTTCATTAAAAAAAAATCAGTTTGTGTGTGTGTATGTGTGTGAGAAAGAGAGATTTATTCATTTTATCTGCACGTATACATGGGTGTTATGTATGTTCTTGGTGCCCACAGAAGTCAGAAGAGGGCCCCAGATCTCCTGGTGATGGAGTTATGGATGACTGTGAACCACCCTGAAGATATTAGAAATCAAACCCAGATATAAAAGCAACAAGTGCTCCTAATTTTACTGCACCATCCTCCAGACCAAGAAAGCAGTTTTTGAAAAGTTAAAAGTTAAGTTTATGTTGTTGCTGTTTTGTTTTTCGAGACAGGGTTTTGCTGTGTAACCTTGGCTGTCCTGGAAACAGCTCTTTAGACCAAGCTGGCTTGGAACCAAGAACTCTGCCTGCCTCTGCCTCCCATATGCTGGGATTAAGTAAGGCATGCACCACAACCACCCAGTCTGTTAAATGCCTTTTTTAAAAGTTTGGTATGTTTATAATACACACAAAATGTTTACCAAGGTACATATAAAACAAACTACACTGTGCAAAAAGCAATTATATAAACCATTTATATCAGAAACCTCAACTTTGTACACAGATTTATCAATAAAATTTTACTTCCTTTTAATAAAAGAAATACATTATTTTTTAGGTTTTTGGATTTGTTTTATTTAGTCTGTTTTGAGGCAGGGTTTCTCTATTATACAGCTCTGGCTGTCCTGGAATTCACTATGTAGACTAGACTGGACTTGAACTCAGAGCTACACCTGCCTCTACCTCCCGAGTACTGGGATTAAAGGGATGTATTACTACACCTGGCTGGAATACACATTATCTTTACTACCCTGAATGATTTTCCACTTTTACACTGGAAAATCTGCAACAGAAGATAAGAGTGCAGTTATATTTAACTTTAAGAAAAGGTCCAATATGTATATAGGACTTACCATATCTACTATCCATTCAGAAACCCTTTAACATCTTGCTCAAACTTGTAACATTTTTTATAAGCTAGCAATTCAGGGGAAATAGTATAAAATGCAGCCACCTGTATGCTTTACAACTTACAACTGCACGTATCTGCTCATGACCATGAGAAGTGAATGTGGTCAACGCTGGGTATCAAGTCTTTCTTACCCTGTGATTTCCTCATGTCTTTGGTGGCTAATGCACGACTGCCATGCTGAACACTGGTAAACTCAGGGCTGGTCACATTGTTAACCCTCAGCTCTTGCCCCAACGACTTCCGACCATAAGTATTTTCCCCAGATCCTCCATTGACACTGTAGCCACCTGAAAAAAAGTAAATGTTTACATTATCTTAACAGGGTCCTTTTTTCACTCCCTCAACTAACAGTTCAGGATCTTACCCATTTACATACAGCCTAGCCTAGGCTTCTCCCCTATCTTCCCTATGCTACTCAACTCCAAACCATTTTGATTCTTTCATTGGAAGTTAAAAAGAGAAACAAAAGTTAAATTCAGGCAAATTTTACACTCTGGTTAGGCACATTTTGGATGAGTAAACACGAGATAGTAGCCTGGGGAACCTCAAGTGTTACAAGTGGACAATGCATTTAAACTATATGGTGACATACATCTTTGATCTCAGCACTGGGGAGTCAGAGGCAGGTGGATCTCTGTGAGTTTTGAGGCCAATCTGGTCTACCGAGTGAGTTCCAGGGCAGCCAAACATACATAGAGAAACCCTGTCTTGAAAAACCTAAATAAATAAATAAATGTAAAATGGACAAACTTTTGAAGTTTTCAAAAATACTGTATCTGATACCTATCTTTTCAATACATTAGAAAATGAATAGAGAGAAGGAAGGGGGAAAGAGAGAAAGAGAGAGGGAGAGAAAGTGACAGAGACCAACAGATAACTGGCAGAGGGAGATAAAAACAGAGAAGCCCATCTAAAACAATAACATGCTCCAGCAATAGAAAATAAATCTATCTGTATGTATGTAGCATGTATACCCTTTTCGTCATTCTGTATGTCGACATGGCCTCTGGTATCATCGTGCCTTTGCCGAGACACCACAGCTGAATTTGAAGGTTGCAGTCCATAAGAGGAAGAAACACCCCTATCTCTGGAAGAGGAGTATTTTAAAGTATCTGGGTCGGCTGATGCACTATCAGTTCTGGGGAGGAAAAAAAGAGAAGAAAAAAAAAGAAAAATTAATATTAGAGGTTTAAGCAAATATCTTAATAGCCAAAGCTACACAGCGTCTCTCTCCTCTAACCTTTATGTTCAGTCACAACTCTATCAAGCACTCCACTGTCTAGTAAGTCTTTCAACTAGGAAGAAACTGCCAACAGATGAGCTGCCTGCTGTTCATGCTCTCCTACTGAATTCCACCTGGATTACAGTGAACAACTCGTGTTAATTTGCTCATTTAATTCATTTACTTTTTTGGAGAAGAGAGTATGTATGCAGATATGTGCGCATGTGTGGAGACTAACAGGTCTAGGTCAGGCTCTGCTTTGCTGGGACCTCAGGTACATCAATCAATCAAGCTGGCTGGATAGGGGAGGACGCTCCATGAATCTGCCTATCCCTGTTTTTCCTCAGCTGGTATTACAAACACAGCTACTACACCAATTTTTTTTTTATATGGGTGCTGGGGGTTCAAATCAAGCATTTTATAGACTGAGCCATCTCCTCAGCCCCAGGACTTTACTGTCAGCATATCAAAGAGACTGGAATTCCAAAATTCCTTGTAAACTTAGTACCTCATGGCAATGTCTACTGAACTCTCTCAACTTAGTCCTCTAATATCTGGCAAGAAAATACACACTGGTATTTGAAAAGCAAATAGGCTATAAGAACATATCAACTAAAAGGAAGATCGTGTTTATGCTTGGCTATATTTTAATGCCTTCACTAAAAAGAATGCCAATTAAACTTAGTTGAAAAGGGAGGATTAAAGTTAAATATTACATTTAACTATTTATTGTAAGTGTATCTCTCAGTAGGGGTGTGTGTGTATGTCCACAAGTACCACAGCAAACATATAAAAGTTAAAAATGACCATTTGTGGCGGTCAGTTCTCACCTTCCACCATGCAGTTCCTAAGGACAGAACTGAGGTATCAGGCTTGGCAACAAGAGCACTTACACAATAAGTCAACTCACCAGCCCAGCAAACAAAATTAAGAGAAAAGGCAAAGTCTCAGAATTCCAGTCATGCTGAATCTGAAGGCTGGGGCCAGTAATGTAATACTGTCAGAATAATTCCTGACACTTGGGTATTAACAAACAAGTAGTGAAGCACAAGACAAAAGCAGTATCTTATCCAACTATCAGCTCCAATTAGCACTATGCCTCAATGTCCTCAGTGAAATAAAAAAACCAAAGCAAGCTACAAGATTTTTATGAATCTTATTCTTCTAGTTATCAATCATAAACTGTTAAGGAAATCAAATATCCTATTATAGCATATGAAAAATAAAAGTAACTGTTGTTTTCTTGATTTTCCCCTAAGAAAAAAAGAAATTCATTAAAAAAATAGCAGTAATGAATTAATAGCAGCAATTTCTATATTCATTACAAATGTCTTCTGAGCTAGACTGGTGATGAAGGCCTTCAATCTCAGCTACTCAGAGGTTGAAATCACAAGTCAAAGCCAACCCTAGACAATTTAGTGACATCCTGCCTCATAAAAATCTGATGGATAGGGAAGGGCAGTTTAGAGCTCCTTGAGTACTACAAACAAAGTTCTAGGTTTAGTACTCAGTAACACAGAACAAACTACCCAAACTCATGATCATTTCAGAAAGTCTTAGGGCATTGACAAAAATAGAATGAGCCTGTGTTCCTCTCTTATATGAGAAAAGGCAGCAGGATTTTTGCACACATGCTTCTTTTTTACTTTATTAATCCTGTTCTTGCCCCCACCAACTGGACATCTTGGTCTATATTTTCTGCAATTCCTGACGATACAGAAAGCAGAAAAGGTCCAATTAAACTTGAAACCGTAACCAGAAAATCTGAGTCAATGCCATAACCTAACAACCTAAAACTGCTAAGGGTGAAATGTCTTCTTAAAAGCATGCAGCTTGTGCCCTTACAGACAAAGACAATTCTTCTAATGCAGAGAAATAAAAACCATGAAATAAAATACCTTGGGGTGAATAGTACTATTAAATGTGCACCTATAATCAACAACTGCATTATAAATGCATTATAATGGTTTCAAGAAAATACTGAAGGAAAAGAGTTTATGGGCTTCCATGCGGGAGGGGGGGCGGGGGAGAAAGGGAGTAGGAGAGCGTTCACCTAATTCAACCTGGAAAAAAAAATAACTTAGTAAATGCACAAATCAGATAAGCACATGACTAAGTCTGATATGCAAAACTCACCTACTGATGTTTACACATGCTGGCATTTCCGATTATTAAGCTCACATGTTGCTCAAACTATACTAACTGTAGCACTTTCTGGTGAAAAAGCAGTAACATGAGACTCAAATCATGCAAGTTAAAAAACATCTGGGCTAAGCTGGAGAGATGGCTCAGTGGTTAAGAGCACTGCCTGCTTGTCTAAAGGTTCTAAGTTCAATTCCCAGCAACCACAGCCCCAATGCAGTAAAGATACACAGTTCTTTGGTTTCCAGGCCTTTGTTTCTCTTGTATAAAATACAGATTGATACCTATCTAACATACAAGGCTGTTGTGAGGCTCACGTAAGGAAAAGAATACTTAAATACATAGCTTGCATGGTATATTAAGAGTTATTATGGCCATAACTCAAAATGAACTCTAGTTTTCCAAGCTAAAAGCATATAAGCAGTCCATGAGCATATAAACGCAATCAAAAGTTTTTACAGTAACTATAAAGCAGCTTATGTTCATCAACAAAGAAATTAAGCAGTTTATTGCTATCAACAAATTTCTAACTAACTAGGTTCATCTGATTTCACATTATGTTTACAAAACAATGAATGATTTCCTAATTCATTAGAAACACAGGTTTTTAACTCCCACGAGTTATGAACACTGAAATTTTTTCATCACAAAATTAGGTTTGAAAAAAATGCAATAACAATTCAGTAGGCCAGAACCACTGCATCAGAGCCGTATCAAATGTTCTCCGGGTCAGGCACTTGGAATGCAAACTTGTATTCCAGTCAGCATTAAATACATGTATTTTGAAGCAAAATGCACAAAATAGCTGAGCATTTATATGAAACAGCTACTTTTACAATATCTAAACTGCTTATGTCTCAGAAACTATATTAGGTTGTTAGCACCAACAAGATAAGACCACCCCAGCCCAAAAAATAAACTGTTAAGAACAGAAGTAAGCACTATAGATGAAGCAAAGCACAAAACAGAAACTACAGATTTCAACTCCAGGAGGCAGGCATCAGTGTTAAGCAAGCTAGTTAGAAAGGCTGAAACGGCTATCTACTAGAATTAGTGTTTCAATTTAGTGGAAAAAGAAAATTTATCTGTTAAACTAAGAATCCTAGTAAGGATTCAAAAATACTTCCACAGTCCCTTTAATACTCTAAAAATGTGGAGAAGAAAAAAAGAAGAAATGCATAAGTTTCCCCAAAATGATCCAACTGAAGTTAAGCCTGATGTACATGCCACATGAGAGGTAAGTTTCTAAAGCTCATACCTCAAAAATCGCATACTGTGTAATATGGAGCCTTTGTGGTGTTTTGCATCAAGTCAATCTGTAAGACAGCAGTTACAGTATTAGTGAAGACAGCGGGTTAAAACATTTGTTCAAACATGAAACAAATCTCACTCATGAGTTAGGTGCTTTTTCTTTAACTATGGCCACTGTTGGTTCAAATACTGAAGCAAAAATCACAATGGAAAGCCACTCTGCCTTTGAGGACAAAGAGTCTTTAAGTGGCAATCAAAAAAAAAAAAAAAAAGTGAGTACATAAGAGAATTTAAATGTTAACCGTAACATACAGATCCCATGTGAATACAGTTATTTTATTTACCTATATTCAAAATCGAGAAAATGTAATAAATCTAGGATGTTATTCACTTCAGGTGACTCAAATCTTCAGCCCTCATACATCTGCCACTGGTTAAAGGGCAGTATCTCCTGGATGGATAGTCTTGTGGTCCGGCACCTATAAGCACTACATAGAACAACTTCCCTTTCCCCAAAAATCTACCTCTAGAAAGTATGAAGTTGCGAAAATTTCCTATGAAGAAGCATTTCCATAAAGGACCCTAAAATGACTTGATGCAAACAACACACCTAATGGTGCCGCTGGAAAAACATCATCACTTTAAGCTGTTTTAAACCTGGACTGAAGAGCTTTCACCCCCATAGTTAGACCTAATTCGTAACATTCATAACGGGTATAAACCAGGAAATGAGATTTGCCCTTAAGGCAATGAGGTAGAAACAATGCAACACTAGTACTCAAAAGGCACCTACATAAGATGACAGAGCTCTCATGTTGCTTAAAAATGATGTACCTTTTAAACTTAAACCAAGTACTATTCCCATAATGTTTCTGTCTTAGTTTCTTTTTATTGCTGTGATCCAAACAACCTGGGTAAGAAAGGGGTTATTTCATCTTACAACTCTCAGATCACATTCCATCACTGAGAGAAGTCAGGATAAGAACCCAAGGCAAGAACTGAAATAGAAACCATGACTGTTGCCCATGGCTTCCTCAACCTCCAATTTAGCAGCTTAGACAATCAGGACCACCTGCCCAGCGGTGGCACTGCTCACAGCGAGCTGAGTCCTTAAAGAAAATGTCCTACAGGTCAATCTGATGTGAGCATTTTCTCAATTGAGATTCCCTCTTCCCAAATGACTCTAGTTTGTGTTAAGTTGACCAAATACTAACCAGGGCAGACTTACTCACCTGGATTCAAACATGCTTTCATGCAGAAGAAAGGATAAAAAGTCTGGGGCTTCAAGAATATCACTTTCATAATAAAAATAATGGTCCTAAGAGCAAGTCTAGGAATGAAAGATTTATTTGGGGGGCTCAGATACTTTTTATTTTTATTCTACATGTATGAACATTTAGCCTACATATATGAATGTACACCCCATGCATACCTGGTGCCTGCAGAAGCCAGAAGAAGGTGTAAGATTCCCTGGAAAGGGAGCTATACAGACGACTGGGAGCTGCCATGTAAGTGTTGGGAAT